AGATAGCTTATCCATCTTCTCACCACATACATGTCAGTTTCTAAACAGAAACCTCTTTCAAAGGAAACTTTGAGACAAGTTCCGTTGCATCTGTAGAAAATCTTAAGTTACAAGTAGATCTTTTATCAGTTTATAGTACTGGTAAGACTTTGACCTTTTAGCTGTGATTGATAATGATGAAACATAAGTCACAGAAAAGAAATATATATATATATACATAGCCCGAAAAGACCCTAATATTGGTAAAAGTACTAGCGAGATTAAGTCTTCAGTGTTTTGTTTTGATTCTTGTGATGGTAAAATTATAAAAGAAATAGTGTTTCTTATAGTAATTCATCCCTCATACATTTCACTTCTTTAGAGGTTCATCAAGCGACCAGTAGACAAACCTCATAGAGAGGTGAAAGTACCAAGTGGTTAAGATAAAACGGTCACTCATTAAAACATATTTTTCTGTAAAATAATTCTGCTGAATGATCTGAACAGTTTGTCAAATATCTTAAGAAAAAAAATCTTTTAAATATCTGAGGCAGTTATTTAAAGTTAGCTGAAAGAATAGTTTATTCAAATTTTTTAAATGTGTAATTTTATCTAAATATCTCAGAATATATATATATAAAACAAACACAAAACTGCAAGATTAATATTAGAAATCTGATAATCAGCCTGCAGTATGCTTATTGATTAATGCATGGCATTTACTCTGAGTTTACAATAATAGATGCTGAGCAAGTTTCATCAAAAGCTGTTACTGAGCAAATTTCTTCTGGAATGTAAAAGTTACCATCAACCAATCAAAATGTAGTATGCTAATTAGTTATGTACACTTTGCTCAATTTCACACTAGAAGCTTTAGTATGCCGTAGATGTTGACCATGTTTCTTAAAATATGATGAAATTTTAGGACGTTAAAATGCAGATTAATTTTTTTTTATGAAGATTGGACAAACAGAGGCCATACCATAATACTTCTCATCAATATTTAGAAAACAATATGATGGTAAGTTTTAGAATTATTTCGGTGTCACTAAAGGTAGGTTTAGTTAAGAATTTGCCCATGTTTCCTTGTCATTAATTAAACAAGACCTGTTTTACTTATATATTCTAACAATATATCAATACCTGTGGGCTTATTCAGGATAGATAAAATATTCTCAAGCATCATGCACTACCCAACAGTAAAGCTATTATATTGATATCCAATCACACCAAAAAAAAAAAAATACATTTGAAAAATTTCTTAACTCTCTGTATATGCATAAAATTCGGTTTCTTCTAAGTCATTCAATTTTTTTCTTTCCAATTTCCCTTCCGTCAAATAAATAGATAGATGGATGTGAAACTGCTATATACGCGGGCAAAGTCACAGATAGTTCTGTGATGAATAGAAATAATTCTTTAAACTTGGTTCCATTAACTCGGAAAGAAAATCAATTTTTTCCGACAATTCTGTCAAAGCATGTGGCACCAGGCCCTCCTAGCTTATGTCATTTTACAATTTCCTTGTAAGTAATGTCATAATATATTTATTTCAAGAATGCTGTCTGGGGTACAAGAAAGCCAATAGTTGGGCCTAAAACATGTCAGGATTTGAGAGAAACTGTGCCTACGTTTAATCAGATGGAGTAGTAATACGACTAGATGCGAAGGTTTTTGATGTCCTCTGGTACTCCAGCTCCCTGGGTCCCGAGAGAATGTTTACGTAAACATGGTCCATCTTTGATTTTATATTTCAACAGGGTTTCACATCAAATATCACAGATACACGGGAAAAAAATAGCAGTATTTTGTATAATTAAATTTTCTGTTAAACAAGTCATCGTATTAAATGACCGAAAAACAAATATTGTAACTTAATACGGAAAGTGGGAAAAAGGTTTATTTGTTCGGCAAACTTATCAGATAAATGAAAAAGTTTGGCACGTGCCTTATTCCTACATCATGATTAAACTATACTGTTAAATGCACTTCAAAAGTACAATGGCAGCCGGCCGTGAAGTTGCCCAAGGGGACACAACTCCTTTTATCACAATCCTCCAGTGACCATTTGGGGTTAGTGTCTGTAGTCAATACCCCATAAATTGTTATCTCTTCTTCTGATTTCATGCCAATAACACTTGTGAAGGTGTCAAAAATCACAATCAAGCCACACTTTAAATATACTAAAAAAATGTTTTATGATCTATTGGCAGCATGGCAGATGAACAAGGAGTTCTAAGCTACAGAATTTCTCAAAAAAAAAAAAAAATCAAAAGAAAAAATCATTTATTAATGAAATAGTTTTAAAATTCCTGACATTCCTTAAGGGTATATCCTACCTTTCACATCAATCCAGAAATTGGTGTTAGAGTGATCTCCCTCACTCTTTTAAACATATCATGAAGTATTCTAAGTAAACAATTGTATCATGTTCTAATGAATAAGGACAAGGATGTTTTGGCCACCTTAAAACTTTTTAAAAATCTAAACACTAAAATGTCAAAAACATATAAACTGAATTTTCTTTTATATTTTGTTGAAAATAGTGAAAGAGGTAATTACAATGAGCGCCTTTGTGCAATAATTAAAGAACAAGAGACAAAAATGAACAAAATTGTTTTATGTTTTAGTGAAAAGTTTTTAAGATATCGGAGTTACCTAAAACTTCAAAAACCTCCCAGCTGACAGAAAACTGACAAATAAATTGTTTCTAATCCTAATCTTGCAGTGTTGCAGTTCTCATTTAAAAAGCCAGTTACTGCTTTTACAGAATATTTATAGGGCAACACTATAGCAAGTGAAAATTCAACTGGCTATTCTTTCAAAGTCAACCACCTGTTTTTAAAACTAAATGAGAACACACTCTTGTTAAAAATTTCATTCTCAACGGTGAAAAGAAAACAAGATACTGTCAATTACAACACATAATTAGTTCTTTTTGATCTTTAGCTTGTAAATCATAAAATTTATTTTGGAAAATCTTGGAAACCATTTTTAATCATGCTAAATTATAAAATCAATGTCACAACCTCATACGATATGGAGCATATAGATTTTCTGTACACCTATCTCAAATTTTTCAGTCAGTTTAAACATTGTCGAACACAGTCTTTCCTCTGCAATACGATGGAAATAAAAGAGATTTTACATTATACATCTCCTGTTTTCCCCAAAACACGGAAGCCACTACAACAGAAAATATGACGTTGACAACTGAGATAAATAAACAACATACAAACCCCGAATCAAGGATAAGTATTCAAAGGAAAGTTAATGTGTGTTGGTAAATGACTATTATGAGATAAAGATTTTTTTGCTCCGGGTATCTGTGTAAACCCAGTTATTTTTTCTAACTTTTTGTTTTTTTGTTTTTGTTAAAATGATGACTGTCTATCCTATTGCTGTTTTATTTAATTGCATTTCTCATAAAAAAACCAACATACCATATTTATCCTGCAATAAGCCCAGGGTGGCTACACAAAATCTCTTTGACTTGAGGTAGGTGCTTATTACAGGTCAATGAAATAGCCTTTGTTGGCATTTCTATTGAGCTGAATTAAATACGGGTGGGCTTATTACCAGGCATGGGCTTATTGGTGGATAAATATGGTAATGATCAATTTAACATGGTCAATCAAAACTTATACCTAGTACTACCCTGAAATAAACCAAATCCACACAATTAATTACAACTTCAGGATTTAACTCATTCACCCCTGAAGACACATTTGAACCGTTCCAATTCAAAGGTTGGAATAGTTCACTATGGAACTTCAGGGGTCAATGAGTTAAAAAGCTCAACAGAGTTTGACCTAGATGCAGGATATCAAACCTTTATTCATCAGGCTCCTTGGGGTCAAACATCATGTAAACTGCTTGACATATTACAGCCACCCGTCTACTCCAATGGATGAAGGTCAAGGTGATTGAAATATTATGGTAGGTAAATATACCATGGTTTTGTGAATTTAAGTTAAGAAACTTACAATAAGGAAGCTAATTGATGTTATATTGTGGCAATTCTAAGTCCAAACACCAAACAACAGTATTTGAACTGTTGAATGTCTGATGTGAACTTCCAATTTAATTTATAATGACTGAATTATGGTTCATATAGTCTTGTCCAAAGTCCTTAAAAATGGTAGTTGTTATTCCCTGCTTAACGTTCAGCATTTAGAGAAATGGCAACAACTGGTTCACCCGCTTGGCGCCTTCGGCATGGTATTTCAGTAGGATAGCACTATAAAGTCAGCATCAGATCTGCACCATCACAAGGAGGCAAGCACACCAAAATACCCCGTCTCCTGCATACATACACGCAAGCACGAATACACTTCACACATGGAGACCTTAGCTGTTAGTTAATAGGACGTTAAACAAAATTAAACCAAACCACACTAAACCAAATATAGTCTTGTATTTCGTCTTAATAACTGGACCATGTGGAGCAGGAATCTACTAGCTACCATATACTACACCTTAACAAGGGATGCAGTATCAGGGCCTGTATCACTCACCTGGATATTTGAGTAATAATGGCAAAATATTTCAATTAATGGTAATTTAATAAATATTTTTCCATTTTATTCTCTGCCTCTCTGTACCAAGCAGGAAAACACCCTTTCTTTATATAACATTTGATATCCCAATCCTAAGGATAGGAAATATGTTTGAAATAAACTGATTCTATGTTATGTCCAAGGGACTCAGTCACCAGGGGCAAGCCTGACAAAGGAACAAATCCTGGTAGCATGATTGTGCTAGAAGTGTCTCTTTAAACGTAGCAATTATTTATACATTAAGAGGATGGGGATCTCAACTGTTTCCATCTTCCAATTTCTGTTCATAGAATATTAAGTTCCCTCTGCCCATCAATGCTCCAGATCAAACTTAGTCAAAATTCACTCAGCCTTTCCAGACTGGTAAGAGTTGAAACCTAAATATGGATCATGTGAATTAGTGCCATGGTGACCAGCCTGCACAGTGCATCATTCGTCTGTCCGTAAACTTTTCTTTTCCAGAAAAAAATGAGAGACTCACCTTGGGCCAGGTGAGCTTAAATCTGTGGGACCCTATGACAGAGCTGAAGCTGTAGTCAACCAGGTATGAAATTATGTCTTCAGAAGTCACTTTACCTGGTGAAGAAGTTTAATCAAGATATCAGTGCTTCCTTCCTAGTAATTTACGAGCCTCAAGCTATATAAATGTACACCTTACAATATGCTTCAAACATGTTTTATTTAAACGGACCAGGGAACTCTTAAACCGGACTAATGTACTTTTAATGAATTAAATCAACAGAAAAAATAGAAGATCAAAAGATGTTTTTCCACATAATACTAATGCTGCCTTCATAGTCTCCTCATTCACATTTTCTGTACATAAACCACTGCACAAAGTAAAAAGAGCAGATAACTTTGCGCCGATTAATTTCGAACATGTCATCGTTGGGACAATAAACATGGAGTAATCCTGTCTTAACTCAAACAGAATAGCAAATAAGTGTACTAAATGCAGAGAAGGGAACATTAATCAGCAACTATCCAACAACTCATTAACACATGGACTTTTAACACTCCAATGAAACCCCGTATCAAATGATCCCAGAGTATACATCAAACGGCATACTAAGTCTGACCACATTAAGACTGGCACCATACAGGGACTAGGGAGGCTGAAATACACTAGAGGGTGGACTTCAGGGTGGGGGGACACCATACATTTGAGTGAATAGACGGGTCATTGGCCTCGTCTCAGCATAAACAGCCACTGAGTCAGATCTGATGAACTGTCTTCTGTCTGGACCAAGTAACCTCCGTCAATGTCCCTGTCTCTGTATAACTGACCGCTGAGACAGACCTGGTATATACCTCAGCCTATGTCCCCTGTCCCAGTATAACTGACCACTGAGTCAGACCTGGTATAAACCTCAATCAAGGTCCCCTGTCCGAGTATAACTGATCACGACTGAGTCAGACCTGGTATATACCTCAGTCAATGTCCCTGTCTCTGTATAACTGACCACTGAGACAGACCTGGTATATACCTCGGTCAATGTCCCCTGTCTCAGTATAATTGACCACTGAGACAGACCTGGTTTAGACCTCAATCAATGTCCCCTGTTTCCAGCATAACTGACCACTGTGACAGACCTGGTATATACCTCAGTCAATGTCCCCTGTTCCAGTATAATTGACCACTGAGACAGATCTGGTATATACCTCAGTCAATGTCCCTGTCTCTGTATAACTGACCACAGAGACAGACCTGGTATAAACCTCAGTCAATTTACCCTGTCTCTGTATAATTGACCACTGAGACAGACCTGGTATATACCTCTGTCAATGTCCCCTGTCTCAGTATAACTGACCACTGAGCCAGACCTGGAATATACCTCGGTCAATGTCCCCTGTCTCAGTATAATTGACCACTGAGACAGACCTGGTTTAGACCTCAATCAATGTCCCCTGTTTCCAGTATAACTGACCACTGTGACAGACCTGGTATATACCTCAGTCAATGTCCCCTGTCTCAGTATAATTGACCACCCAGACAGACCTGGTATATACCTGGGTCAATGTCCCCTGTCGCAGTATAATTGACCACTGAGACAGACCTGGTATATACCTCAGTCAATGTCCCCTGTCCCAGTATAACTGACCACTGAGTCAGACCTGGTATATACCTGGGTCAATGTCCCCTGTCTCAGTGTAATTGACCACCGAGACAGACCTGGTATATACCTGGGTCAATGTCCCCTGTCTCAGTACAATTGACCAGAGACAGACCTGGTATATACCTGGGTCAATGTCCCCTGTCTCAGTATAATTGACCACTTAGACAGACCTCGTATATACCTGGGTCAATGTCCCCTGTCTCAGTATAATTGACCAGAGACAGACCTGGTATATACCTGGGTCAATGTCTGTTTCACTTGCCACGAGACAGGCCTGGGGATCGTCTTTGTCCCCTGTCTCAGCATATATATATAACTGGCTGCAGAGACATGCCTTATAAAATACCTGTACCACTATCTTTTGTCTTATTATCCTGTTAAAGAGATGAACGAAGTGAATACCAAGGCCCACTTTCCCTTCCTATTGGTTTAACATCAGGATGATTAGCTGGACTTCACCGTTTATACTTGACATTAACATGATCAACCCTATGGTCAAGCAATGCTATCTGGTCACTCATCAACAGATCAGTGTCAGTCCACTGGTCACCCAGGTGGTCAGTCCTCACCAGGTGACCGGCTGACCAATCAGGTGACAGTATCAGTGTCCAGCAAGCCAATTACAACAACCCTTCAAGTGTAACAGATAAGATCAGTTAATAAATAATCAATTTTATAGGATTCTCGGCATTATGCTCGTGAGACAGGGATGATGCCTACTGGGTATTATAATGTTATTTTACAGGGAGTCCATACGGCATTAAAAGATGCGTTTACTGACAAGGGAGGGGGAAACATGTACAAATCTCGTGTAATCAGTTGACATCGTAACAATTTTAGCACCACCTCGGGAGAATTCGGTTTCAAGATCAAACTCTGCGAAAAACATAAATTCAAAGAAAAGGAACAATTAGCACCGAGAATTTCTTGATAGAAAATTGATTTTCCAATATGAAGTCGTTTTTATAAATTTGAACACAAAGAAATAGATTTTGGAAATGATTAAATAGTGATAGATAACTACAGATTATCAAAACTGACTGTAATTGTTATCAAACAACAATGATTTGAGCTGGAAATTGTGATTTAAAAACACAGAAACACTTAAACCTAATAAGCTGCTTGTATGAAAGTACACGGACAGTATTGGGACTTAGAAAGCTACAGAAACCTGAATCAATAAAAGTATGACGTAGCCGTTGTGTACAAAAAAGGAAACCTGTCTTCTAGTTAACCTACACTGTAATCTGCTTTCTATAGAGATCACCTGTCTATAAAGGCCAACTGTCTGTACAGACCACCTGTCTATATATAGACAAATTACTTATAGAGACCTCTAGGCAATAATAAACAATCTGGGAACACATGAAAGAAACCTGGCCTGTTAAAGACCAACTGTCTGTACAGATCACCTGTGTATAAAGGCCAACTGTCTTTAGACCACCTGTCTATACAGACCAACTGTGTATAAAGGTCAACTGTCTTAAGATCTTTTGTCTATACAGACCACATGTCTATACAGGCCAACTGTTTGTACATACCTCCTGTGTATAAAGGCCAACTGTCTGTACAGACCACCTGTCTAAAAAGGCTAACTGTCGATCTGTACAAACCACCTGTCTATAAAGGTCAACCTTCTATACAAACCACCTGTCTATACTGACAGCATGCCTATAAAGGTAAACTGTCTTTAGACCACCTGTCTATACAGACCACATGTCTATAAAAGCAAACTGTCTGTACATACCACCTGCCTATAAAGACCAACTTTCTATACAGACCACCTGTCTATACAGACCACATGCTTATAAAGGTAAACTGCCTTTAGACCATCTGTCTATACAGACCACCTGTCTACCTGTCTATAAATGCCAACTGTCTGTACATACCTCCTGTCCATAAAGGCCAACTGTCTGTACAGATCACCTGTCTATAAAGGCTAACTGTCTGTACAGACCACCTGTCTTTAAAGGTAAACTATCTGTACAGACCATCTGTCTATATAGACCACATGTCTATACAGACCACCTGTCTTTAAAGGCCAACTGTCTGTACAGCCCACCTGTCTATAAAGGCCAACTGTCTGTACATACAACCTGCCTATAAATACCAACTTTCTATAAAGACCATCTGTCTATAAAGGCAAACTATCTGTACAGACCACCTGTCTATAAAGACCAACCGTATGTATATATTACCTGTCTATAAAGACCAACTTTCTGTACAGACCACCTGTCTATAAAGACCAAATGTATTTAGACCACCTGTCTATACAGACCACCTGTCTATAAATGCCAACTTTCTGTACAGATCACCTGTCTATAAAGGTCAACAAAATGTGGTATATGTCGTAGAGAACTGGATGTAGAGACCATCTTTCTATAGAAAACACCTGCTTTTAAAGACCATCTTTCTATATAGGTAGCCCATGTCTGCATAGCAACACAATTTTGTTGCTATGGTGTGGCATCTACGCATGCTCAAAGAAAAAATCTGCACCAGTAAATACAGCCCCAATTAACCTCGAAGATGTTTATAAAAGAAATTGGTAAATAAATACAAGTTGAAATTTATTTTTTAATGAGGCCGGAAATGACCCAATAATTAACGCCCGGAACATTTGGCAAATTGTAGACAACAGATAGTACTGTTACTGTAGGAGGTAGAGTGACATCTCCAAAGGTACCTGAGGCAAAGATATGATGCAATGGACTATAAATTGTTTTCGTTAGTAAGGGAAGATAACCTTGAATATGAAGGATAGCTTGTCTTACTTATATTACATAATACATGTACATCTGATCCAGCCGTGTACTACAAAATTACAAGACTACATGGTACATGTAGTTCCAGCAGAATAAAACATAACTACAAGAACAACTTCTTTTAGTTGGACATTTGTTATGAATATCACAATATTAACAAGCCATTTGGATTGATATGTCTCGCCTGTGTCCGCATTGACCATCAATGCAATCTATGGTGCAAGTTTGGTTGGCCTAGCACTTATAGTTTCAGAGAAACTAACTTAAACACAAAAACTTAATGTTGTTGGAGAAGCTGACAAAGTCAATGGACCATGGAAGGTAGGCTGCATCCAGCATTTAACACATAGATTGAGATGTACTACCTAAGACGCATCTTTCAGTGAAACTAAGTTAAAATGCAAAAATTTAATGTTGTTGCCAGCGCCGCCGGGAAAGCAACAGCTTAGTCTCGCTTCTGCTACTTTGTCACCCCGAGACAAAAATTGTGAATTTGTAAATTTTGATAAAAACATCATAAAGAAACAAAAATGTCAAATCTACTGTATTGATGTGCTATTTATCACTGTTTAAAGCTTGAAAATTAAAGTTAATATTTACAATAAAACAAAAAATCAGTGAATTCTTTTTTTCATAGGTTCCTCCAAAGGAAAAATGTCTTT